ATCCTGCAGATCTTTGGCATTGCTCTTCTGTTGTAATAGGAAAAATAAATTTGGGAAAACTACAGGGCCATCCCAAGACCCTGTAAAGAATTTCGTTTCATTTTTACAGAAGAATGCCGACAGCGGATTGGATTTATAATAAACTGGCATAATAATTTAGATGTACTAGATGGCTGGTTCTCACTTTTGTGATAATATAGGTGCAGCAGAAATGTTTGCCTCAGACTCTCTTACCCTCAGAAAGACTCCGGTCATATATCATAGAGATGAAAGACCTTTCAGACTCATTCTGCTGACAGTAGATATCCACTTCCCCTTTGCTTTCACAGCTCAACCGCGCGATCCATAGAGTTGCGTATAAACCCTCCTAGTCCGGTAAACAACAATTAAACTCAATGCAGCTGCAACAATGCAAAGTCCTGAGAGTATTCCACAAGTAATGGAATAGCATACAGTGCCAACACAACTGAGTGAGTCATCATCTCTGAGGGGTTTTATAAGCATTGAAGCCGAGTCTCGGTGTCTGAGTGCAGCTTGTTCCTTCGCGTAGTGGTCGTATATACCACTAGCAATCACTTCTGAGAAGATAAGAGAACCAGCAGGATTTGCCATTGTAAGAAAATTATATAGGGCCCCAAAACTTTTCAAGCCAAATAGCTCTGAAGCTGCAGCTGGCAAAACTGCCCAGTGAGCACCATACCCTAGCCCGACCAACACAGTTGTCACATATATTTGCCCTGGCAACCCCAAAGCATAGTAGAAGAGCCCGATTGCCATGATGACCTGAACTACGGCCATAGCCACTGGTCTAGGATAGGCGAAGTCTCTGGTAAAATAACAAACATATTGAACATTAGAACTGGTAAACCTTCATGTGCCAAAATTTTAGAGAGAAAAAATACTGGAGTTTATGATTTTAAGTTATATCTGGTTTCACCTTACTATAATCTCAGAGAAGTAGCCGCCACCAACACGTCCAAGAAAGTTCCAAATGCTGATCATGGAGACATATATACTTGAATCGGTATACCCAAGTGACTGAGTTATCTGACCCAAATTATCAATAATTGTCAAACCAGATCCGGCAGCCAGTAAAAGGGAAACAACTATAAGCCAGAAATCTGCCTTTATCAATGCCTGCGTTAATGTGAAATCCTCTCCTCTACGAGGGCCTTTTCTCCTCTTGACCCTCACTGCTCCATCTGCAGCTGCTTGGAACAGTTTAGCCTGCAGCTGAGCAATTCGTTTTTGTCTCTCTGATGCTGGAAGTGAATCTACTTCTGGACTCTTCTCATCTTCCACCTCACTAAGAATCACCTCAGTTTTGTCCTGCTCAGATTTGCCATCTTCTTCTCTCTGAGCCTCAAGGAGAAGGCTCTCCTGCACCGAAGGTGTTGGTTCGGAGAAGAAAACTAATATGATAGGGATAATGATTGGAAGTAATATGAGAATGATCAAAATGACTGCAAACAATGTGATCAAAGATTGACTCAAGTTAAGCGCATCCTCAAGAATCAAAACTCCCAATAAATAAGCTGCCAGGACAAGGCAAACACTATAAGTAAATAGGAAACTTGAATTATCAGCTGGCCTGACTTGTCTGTGACCTCCCACAGGCCTAACAATGAACATCAGAGCAATGACAACCATAGATGGGCCAACTGCAATCATGAAAAGCAATGATGATTCATTTGGGGAATTGATCATTGCATAAATCTGAGTAATGATTGCACCACTCAACCCGGCATATCCTTTTAGGATCCCCACAACAGGACCCCGGCTTTTGGGAAAGTTCTGCACACATGAAATCAATGCTGCTGTGTTGAAGAAGGTCTCTCCGTTTGTTCCCACAAATATACAGATGCAAAGCTGCACATAAAAAAACAAACTTCATTAACAATTCTGCTCACAAAGAAATGTAGAAGTATTTCTGAACTCTGTTGAAATAGCAATGAACAAAAAGAAGAGATTTCAGTCAAGTTTTCACATGTCCCAATTCAGCTTGGACATCAATAGAATGTGTATGACTGTTCTGTCAAGAAAAACAATATTAAGAAAGACAATGGCAACTCTTTTCCATTTGAAAAATATACTCAGAATTCAGCACCTTATAGCTCCTCTTTCCTTTCCAATAGGGAATTTCAAATTTGTCAACGCTTCTATCATTTCCAAATGTGATATTTCAACCAATAACCAAAAGGGTATTGAACAAAATCTTGACAGAGTAAGAAAAACCAATCGAAGTTCTCAGTCTATACATATATATATATATATATATGTGTATATAATATGTAAGTTATAACAATGAAATTCAAGTCCTGACAGCAAGAGAGAGAGAGCAATCTATCTGTGTACCAGATCCAAAAGAAGACTTGATGATCAGATGAGACTTGATTGAAGTTTGAACTCACCACCCACAAAGGAAAAGCAGGCAATCTTTGAGAGACTATAAGCCAAAGGAAGCCATAGCCAAGAAAATTGAGAGCTGCCCCAATGGACAGAAGCCCCCACGTGGGCAAAACCTCAGACAAGCTTCCTGCCACAAACCCAACAGCGTCACCCCAGTCCTTGGCCACACCAAGAATGGCCACCTGCCTCTGGTTGTACCCCATGGTGCTCTTGATCACTGGAGATATGCTCCCAAACAAGTACCCAATTCCTGCAAATGACTGAATCCACATTGCACACACAAACACAAGCCATCTGCTGTTGAAGAGAGCCTTCAATTTCCCATGAAACTGAACCATCTTTGTGTTTTGATGAAATCAGTGGCTGCTGATGATGATGATCAAAGACAGTAAAGTCTACTGCATCACACTATTTGATTGGAAATTGAGATCTCTAACGATCACTTTGAAACTTCGTTGTGAATGATTGGTTTTTTGTCTGCCTAAGCTTGACATAAATATAAATATCCAGCTGTGTGATATTTTCGATCAACATGGCGGTAAATTAATCCTAGCCTCACCATCGGTCAATATAACTACCATTATATAATATGTAGAATGAAAAGAACAACAACTGATATGTAAATGGGGTTAAAAGTTTTTGACTGCTCAAGACAAAAATGTTTGAAGAGTTTCAATTTCTGAACTCTCTTAATTTAGGTTCAAGTCTTTTGCATGCCAAAAAAAAAGGAGTGGTGATTATTTTTTTGAGTGACAACAAAATTAAGAACAGTGGTTTGTGAGTGTGACCCTGATGTTATAAATTCTTTTAAAGTTTTTTGGAAATCAATCATAGGAGGCGTGCTTGTTTTTCAGCCACTAGTTTATGAAGACCATCATTGTTATTGTTGACCTTGGCAGCTGATTTCTAGATTTCTTTTACACAGATGGACACACACACACACTTGTATATAAAATGTTATTTTCACGTATTTATATTATTTTTAGAAACGTACCATAATGATGTTTACATCTCAAATCCATCAAACTTGCGTGCACACAAAAAAAATTCCATCTGACTTATCTTTGGCTGCTTATCATTTGGCCTCTTCTGGGATTTGCATTTTTGGTTTTACAACCGTGAGTCATACAACAATGAATAGTATGATGTCAAGAACAACATATGCGAGTTAGGCTAGTTAATCAGATTTTTTTTTTCTTTTTCATATTCCATGTTTCATATATCTTTTTTTTTATATATCTCTTTCATTACGTAACTCATCTTGTGATGAGATAGATAAAGATAAAGGTATATAAAACATGTTACATATAAGCTTTACTCGTTAACCAGCACAGTGAGCTTGTCTTACACCCAAATTTGAGTTCTTCTCTTTGTAAATTAGATTAATTTAAAATATCACTTGTATTAAAAATGATATTAAACAAAAGTGGAGAAATTGTCCAATTTAGAGGGCATGCAGTTGGGACCAGAGAGTGATAGAAAATCCAAATTCAACAACTTAAACCAAACAGAAAAATGAAAGAAACAGTTCTTAAACAAACAAAAGACCATCGGTGGTCCATCTTTTCAGGGGATTGAATCCAGGCAAAGATTCGAAGTCTTGTAATAGGATTGTAGGGTAAGATGATCCATCACTAGAGTTCCCCCTCGGTTTTTATGAAGTACACGACTGATAGATGTTGAAGGAAAGAGAACAAAAACAATGCAATTTACAACTGGCAGCATGTGGTGCTTTAACCTTCGTTTTCTTTTATTTATTGCTACGCATAACATGCAACCATATTAATTGTCGATATGGATAGAATTTGTTACACTTCTTAATCAATCTATTATTTTTTATACTAATGCCACGTCGAGAGAATAGCTCATCACAAATAGATCTGGAAATAGGAATATTCGATTTTGTCTAATTGATGTTACATAAATGTAACGTGAAAGGAAGAGATTTTGTAGCTCAAGTAGTTAAGATTAGTTATTATTGCATCCGAGATATCATGTGTTCAAACTTCAAATCCCCTCTAGAGGCGGTCCTACACCTAGGGCAAGGTAGGCTGCTGCCTACCCCAACATTTTCAAAATTAAAAAATACCCACATAGAATAGGTCAACCCATGTGAAACATACAAACCAATGCCCACCCAAAAAGTAAGCCATATGTATGCATAACTCAAGTAGGAATATTCAATTTTGTCTAATTGATGTTACGTAAATGTACTGTTATAGGAAGAGGTTTTATAACTCAAGTAGTTAAGACTAGTTATTCTTACACCTGAGATATTATGTATTCGAATTCCCTCCATCGTTATCTTTTGAATAAAACCAAATGTTGAAACTTGATTAAAGAAAGTGAACAAAAAGTGAGTGAAAATGCCAACTAATAATCGACTAGTTTATAAAAAAGTTAAGTTAAGTTAATTAATATCTCACTCCTAAATTTCTCCTAAAATGGTATTAGTTTCGTTTGATCAACACGTGACGTGACATGCATAGCCGACAAATTGAAAAGAAGAACAGTTCAATTTCAACACGCAGGAACCAGATGCAACACACCTACCTACATAAGTTGTTGAGCTTTCGAAAATACGGCCTGATTTGTTGAGCTGTCACACATTATAGATACGTAGAAGAGATCATACGTCGTCGTCTGACTACAAAACCAGTTTTCCCAAATGCTTTTAACGTGCAAAAGAGCCTTCCCTCCTATGTCACATGTAATTTATCTGGCACTTAAGAAACAAGCTGATCATAAGATTCAGAAAACAAGAAGCACGAACAAATTATTCACAAATCAAACAAATTTCTTGTCAATAATATCAACTTTGTTCTTTCTTTTCAGAGATGAGCAGATGAAGAAAAAACTTCTAGTCCATGGCTTCGAAACTTGGAGCATACCAACCCAACTGGTCAGTGATTTTCTTCATCCTTTCTTCTTGTCCCTTTGAATTCCCCAAAGCAGTAGTGAAAGGGTACAAGTAGGTTACTTTTGTGGCCATGCACCTGTAAGAAACCAAGTCTCCTTTCACCAGAAACTCCAGCACATCTCGGCCAAACCCTCCATCAAACTCAGCTTGTAGATATTGGCCTCCTGGGATTGTTTTCATTATCAGTAATGTCTCACTAAAACTTGGTTTAAATTTAATTAATGATTCGCCAATAGGGTCTAACCCAATGGAAAAAGGCCTTGACGTACCAAGTTCCTCTTCACTTAAATTAATAAGCATATTGGCAACATTCTGTTTTACTACTTGAGATCAAGTTCATGGGCCAGATTCAATTTGTTACGCATGTGTTCAATCAATCTACTTACCATCAGGGGTATCTTGCAAGATTTGAATTTTTGCATTCTTTTGAGTTTCCAAGATTGCTTCTTCCAACCTCTGCATAATTGCATTAAAATAAAAAGAAAGTGACTTTAAGCATTTTGTAAAGCTTAAAACTACATTTGGACCAAAAAAAGAAGAAGATTAGAACTAGTTAACTCAAGATGCAAACAAGTGAATGCAGAAAGTTCATAACCAAGCAAGTCTCGGATCATGAGAAAAGTAAAAGTTCAATTCAAATTGTTCATGAGAGTGGATGCATTGATTCTCTCTAAACCTGAATTGCATTGTCTGAAGAATTTGCAGGAATCGTCAATGGAAATGCAAACGATGATGACCTTGGATTTGTTGACACACAGCCTGGATTTATCGATGGGCAAGGTCTGATTTTTCTGCAAATTGAAGGGACACACACACAGGTCATACTGAGCAAACAGAGCAAAGCACATTGCACAAGGCAGAGGAAGAAAAAACCTCTAATTTCTCCATGCCTTCCAACAAATACATTCTTTTCAACACAACATGGATGTAAATTAGCAGAAATAGAAAGAACCCATTAAAGAGAATTGGATTCAGTACAAACCAATTAACTAATTTAATCCAAAACTCCTTGAAGAATTCTAATTTTGACACTTTGTATGTAGCAAAGGGAGAAAACCCAGTTAAAGAAACAGTGAGTTGAAGAAAGTGTACCCATTTTCCAGCCCAGTCTGCAAATTCTTGGATTGAGAGAATGGAGTCGTGGGGGGAGGGACTAAATTGGACTGGGGGTTGAGAGAAGGGATTGCTAAAACAGGAAAAGGTGAGCTTAGTGTTACAGAGAGAGCCAAAGAGAGTAGACTGGGTAAGATTGTGGGCTTTGGGGCTGAACTTTGCAAACTAGCTTTTGGGTTTTGAAGGCAATGAGAGGTTTTAGTGAATGAGTGTTTGGAAGTCGGAGGTAGAAGATGACCAACCATCATACTCATGTTGGTTAAGCTCTTGTTATCCTCTCACTCTGGTTCACTCTCTCTCTCTCTCTCTCTCTCTCTCTCTCTCTAAACGCAGTGTTTAGCCTGCAAATTCATCAGAACATTGCCGTTTAGTCGTGCAAATGACCACCACATATGCATATTGTCGTTCGCTGTGTTAATATATATGTCAATATGAGAAGCTTGATGTCGTTTTGTTTCCATAACGGTTAAATATTATGTAGTGAAATATGCAGACAAGAAGTCGATATGTCCGAGTGGTTAAGGAGACAGACTTGAAATCTGTTGGGCTTCGCCCGCGCAGGTTCGAACCCTGCTGTCGACGAATTTAATATTTTTTGCTTATTATTATTATTTTCTTCCAAATATCTGTTTGTTTGGAAGCCAAGAAAACGCACGAAGAAAAAAAAGTTTCGCCGAGTCCAAAACTGCAGCATGAACATCTCCTATTTTCACTATAATTTTCAAAACCAACCAAAGAATACAACAGAACCCAAAACATGACATCAAAACTCACGATTCAGTTTTCATCTAGTGTTGGTGTCAGTTGCCTTGCACACCAAGATTCCCTTATTGATTATAATTTGTTTCTTTTTTTATTTATATTTTCCTACTGTAAATAGAATTAGAAGTTATAGTTTGACTTGGCCTAGACGTGATGTATACATAAAATTCACACAATTACTCTTCCATGTTTTACTTATTTGTATCTAGGAACCCTAATCTAGGTTTCTTTCCTTTTTTTGCCATTTTCGCTATTTTTATGCTTTTACCTTTTCATCTATATATATAAAGTTCGAGGCAGAGTTTGGTGAAAACTTTAAAAGTACCAAGAAATGCCCATGCTTATTAATTAATACTAGCTCATTGGCACGCACAAACCCTCACGCGTGTACCAGTTGGTTTTTTATATTTTATTTTAGAATTAAAAATAATAATGAGCAGTTGTGTTCCTTAAAAATAGGGTCTATAATCTAATTTTGTTTTTATTTTTTATTTTTTAAACATGAAAATGTGTAAATTTACCATATTATCCTCATTTAATTAACAATTTCAATTCTTAATTTTTGGATTAATATTTGGATTAACCAATGGCATTTTCTAGTTAATGCAAACATTAAGAATTGAAATTATTAATTAAATGAGGATAAATGGTAAATTCACACCTTTTATATTAAAAAAATTTAAAATTTAAAACAAATCAGATAATAGGTTCTATTTTTATGGAACACAACTACTCATTATCTTTTTTAATTCTTAAATAAATAAAAAATTAAAGAAAGAATCCAATTGGCACAGGATGAGGGGCTAGTTTAAAATCCAAAAACAAATCGAATTTATTCTGCACGGGCTAGCATAACAACATAATGCGTGCGGAATAAGATAGCAGCCTCTAGAGTTAGAATTTTCCAAGAGTTTTTTTTTTTTTAATTGGAATTTTTCCAAGAGTTCGAAACTTTCATATCATACCCAAACCCTAAACCAAACTCCCTTCTGCCGAAACCCTATTCCCTTGCGCCTAAATTTAGCATTTTAATAATAGCAAAGGCCCTATCATCCGGAATAATGGGGGATGATCGGAATACATCTCAACCTTCTGCCGCCGCCGCTCTGCTCACCTCCGGTCAAGATGTTCAGGACCATGCCTGGATGTTGGTGGATTCACGCCAAAGTGAGGTCCGCCGCAATATATATTTGATCAAGAAATATATGCGCGAACTGTACGACAGAACGGAGATAGATAAATCTCTGGGCAAACTGGGCAACATATCGAAGATGGAGAAATCTCTAGCCCAACTGGTCGATTTGACGAAATCAATGTTGGAGCAGATTCGCTCACTACAACCCACGGTGCATAAGGCCGTTAATCCTTACCCAAGGTCAGTGCTTGGCTTACTGGATTACGTCTTATTTTGGGATTGAAGAACCAAGTAATGCAATCTATGGAGTGAAATTCAAACATGGAGGAGGAGTCACTCATGAACCCCCAGTAATTGGACTTGTTGACAGGTTCTATGAGGGTGAGGAGTATGAAATTATTCACATGAAGGCTGCACATATTTTCAACCGCTCCAAATTATACATCCTTGCACAGAGCGGTGGATATATTATTGACACGAAGACTATGTCAAGATGTTCATCTTTTCCTCTTCCCCCTAGCCTATAAATCAATACAGAATGTTGTATCTGCGTATGACAAGCTGTATTGTCTTGCAATCCGATCATCCTTCAACTCTATTACTGACCCCTCATTCAAGAGATATGATCCTGATAAGAATGTCTGGGAGGAAATGCCTTCTTATCAATTTTATAATCCTACGTTTATAACTGGTTATGCTGTTTGTTATGGCATTATTTTGTTTTCATTGTGTGGCGGGGAAAAAGAGAATTGTCATGTCCTTGCTTTTCACATTAGTAGAAATCAATGGAAGCAGGTGGAAGTTGACACTTCTGTTGATTGACTATATATTCCTTACGAATGAATGAGTTTATAGCATTCTCCTTTAGGATGGACAAAGGTGACAATGGTAGTACTGTATATTCCTTAAGCCAATTGTTTATATTGCAAGACCTAGAGATTGTGCGTCCACCATTGCCATTTGATATGGAGAGTGAGTATTTGGTTCATTTGGGGAACCATGACTTTTTCCATGTCAAGACTGGTCCTTGCTTTGACAAGGCTGAATATCTTTGTATCACCACATTTCAAATTGTTGTTGGAGAAGGAGAAAGATATATGATCAAGACCATAAATTCAACTGTTCATTCTGTGGATCTAGAGTGCGCTGCATATTTCAATCTTGCTTTCTGCTTCATGCCTTAAGTTTCCTACACGTTTCTTATTGTGTTGTCATCAATAACATTATTAATTTATGCGTTGGAATTCTGTTACATTTTGTATAGAAGATAAGAGTGTGTGAATCAGCCAAAACAAGAAGAAACCATTCTGGATGAGAGTTTTTCTAAGGTAAAACGTAGGACAATGGCAAAGGTGAAAGAAATGTGTTTACATGAAATCTTTTTGTTTATTTAATGATCATGAATCAAGAGACTCAATTTTGGTCATGACTATAAGTTTTTTTTTTATACTTTGAGTCTAATTTCTTGTACTATAATTGAGTTTTACAGAAAGAAGCCAGGCATGGAATAGATGTGAGGCAGCCAGAATTAAAATCCGAGAGGAAGATTAGCTGCCAGGCATCGTGAAAGAGTCTATTTTAGGCGAACTGGCACCTCGCTGTTGTAAAAGGAATGTGAATTTTGAAAATTCAAAAGCTTTGGATAGCCCAAGATTATATTATGTCACTGAATATATAGATGGGATCTTTTGAAAACAACTTCATGTTAATTTATACATGCATTTGGAAGTTTCCAGATGGTTTTTGCTTCATCAAGTCCTAAATTGGCTCTGGTTTCATGTTGTTCATGAGTGGTTGTGGTCTCTCATGTAATCTGTTGTATCTAAGGCATGCTTGGTTTTCTCTTAGTCTCTCTCCATGATTTAGAACAAAGGGTTTCTCCATAATATAGAAATTCTCTGCTTTGTGAGGAACAGCAGGTTCGGATAATTTCACTTAGGGAGTAAGCTGATTCTTAATGTACTTATGGAGTAATAACAAGGCTTTAATTCCCAAACGGAGGCAGGCTTCTTGGTTCAGGCCGTTGTATGCGTTTGACGCTAATTACATGTATATTCAGCCCCAATTTATTTCAAAAAAACTAAAACAAAATAACACGGCTATTAAAATGGAGTATAGCCGCGCGGCTATACTATTTTTAACAAAATTAAATCAATCGATTATAGCCGATCGGCTATACTATTTTTTCGAAAATAGGCAAAAAAATTAGGGAGTTTCACTAAAACACCCAAAATGGGGATTGAAATTATAAAAAAACCCAAGCACTATTTAAACATATAAACACACCCAAAACTCATCATTACACACACTCAAAACCTATTTATAAACACACGCAAAAAGTTGACTTTGGGGTTGATTTTGGGTGTGTTTCTATGTTTAAATAGTGCTTGGGTTTTTTTATAAATACATGTCTAGGATTGGGTTTATTTATAAATTTGTAAAAAAAGTAAGAATAAACCAAGTACAGCCGATCGGCTATACTATTTTTAGAAACATGACCGAGTATCGCCGAGCGGCTATACGATTTTTCATAACAAAATTTAAAACAGGTATAGCCGCTCGGCTTTACGATTTTTATATATTAAAAGTTACACTCCTAGCGCTATGGCGCCACATGTTCAAAAAGTAAAGCCGTCGGGCTATATTGTTTAAAAAAAATTAAAGACAATTATAGCCGTGCGGCTATACTATTTAAAAAATTAGTAGATGGAATCTTCTCATTCTCATTTGTTAGTATTTTGTTAGCTCTTCTTGCCCATCTCTATTTCCTACCCTACTTACATATGCAATTAATATTTGGTTTTTTGCTTCGTGAAGTAGTAATTTAACTCTGGTTTCATATTGATAATGGGCGGTTGTGGTCTCTTATGTAGTCTGTTGTATCTGAGGCATGCTTGGTTTTCTCTTGCTCTTTCTCTCCAAGTAAGAATGTTGTGGTGCTGATTAGTTGGAAAACAGGTGGGTGTGTGTATCTGGAGGTGGCCTTTTCTGAACCTGTTATTCATGTAACATGGCTTATACTTGGGTGTAAGTAGTTTACTTCATTTCTTCATCAAGAATTTGGAATTCCTTCAAGTTGTAACATTTACTATATAACCTTGGAGCATCTTTTTTCTTCATTTGTGGGTTTCTGCTTTAGGCTGAGTTTCTAACTCGTGAAGTTTGTTTTTTGTTTGATTTAATGCTAAATACACCCAAAAAACAAAACCCAAATGAGGTGAAGACTCCGCTCCTCACTTTGGTCAAAGCAGGATCCCTGAAAGCAATGCCAAGAGCATTAAATTTGAACTTGTTGACTGCCTTGATTCTTCTGAAAGTAAAATGTTCAAAGGGTAACGCAACTACATATTTTACAATTACACAAGCGAACGTGAAGGGTGCCCAAAGAGGTTTGAGCCCATGACTACCTCTTAATTTTCTATTCAGAAAGAAGACACTTGTTTCAAGTGATGTGGTAGAAAAATATAGACAACGGTTCATAGAGATGCATAGAAGAACAAGCAATCGAACACAATCATTATAACAATCTCCTAACGTTTTATATGGGACATGAGCACAAACACTGATGTATGTATAGAAGAGTGACCCAAGGAGGATGAATTAATTTTTAATCGAGGACCTTGTTGTGAGGGAGGATCTCATATCTACAATTGCTGACTGGTCTGCTCCCAATTTGATGGCCTCTTTGCTTGCTCTAATGAACCTTGAAACAGCACCTTTTACGTACCCGTGAGCTTGCTTCACACTCATCTTCTTGCTCATTTCATCAGGGAAGCTGCTCAAGAAGTGGTCACCATTAAGTACACCGGCTAATTGGACTACCTCGCCCTGAAACTCGGATAAACCAGCATCTTCTTTCGCCTCTGTGCTCCTCAAAGGCACCACATCTGGCAAGGTCTCTACAAGAATTCAGTAGGAGACAGGTTCAGCTTTCTTCCATTGACAACCTCAATAAGTTGGAAAATAAAGATGATGCATGGGGCTCCACAGTGACAAATGTATCTTCATTTTTCTTTGTTTTTTCTTTTGTTCTACTTAAAGGGATCAACTTTTCATGTTTCTAATCAATTCTCTTCTAACCCTGTTACTTTCTAATGGATCTCTAAATAATTTTTGTCACGAACACTGCATAAATTTGATTAATTCAGATTCTAGATAGATAGATAGATAGATAGATACCTGGGCAGTCAGTCCTGGGAGAAGTCAATTGCCCAAGAACATGCTCAAATGTGCCGGCCCATGCATCTCTGTGAGTTAAGAAGTTAGAGGAGAGGTTGAACATCTTCTTTATGGTGGCAGGGATTGAAGAATGCTCAAACTCAGAGTTTGGTGTAGGTCCTTGCGGACCACTCATTACTGCAAAACCAAGTAAACATCAGTGCAATAAAGAAGTGAAACAGAAACCCTTGATTGATTATACTTTACGCATTTCAGATGCTCAACAATATGCAGATGTGGCAATATGGGTTGACCCCAATACAATAACCCACCCACCAAATTCTACTTCTACTTGATCCACAGACACAATATGCGCAACATTTTGAATCAAGGAATTCAACCAACTAATCCAATTTAATTTGGACACTCAGAGACAGAAAGAAATCAAAAGATACCAGACAGATCCGGTAGAACAGGTAAGTGGACCAATATCATATCAATTATTGAAGGCTAACATCTAAAATTACAGATAAGGCAGGCCAAATAATGAGAATTTGAGCTTACCAGTCCCTTTCTTAATCCATGGAGAGACCATAATTGTCGGTACACGAACCCCAAGCCGATCAAACTTGAAGAAATATGGAGCAGGGCCACTGTTCCCATCTGGGTTAGGAACATTAACATAAGGAGTCTTGACATGATCAAAAAATCCACCATGTTCATCATAGGTGATGACCAAAAGGGTCTCATTCCACTGAGGACTTGCTCTCAGTGTCTCATAGACCTCCTTAATTAGTTTTTGCCCATTGGCAACATCATGAGAAGGGTGATCATCATTTGCAGGCATTCCCGTTAGATCAAAATAGGCCGGCTCAATCACAGTTAAACTTGGGAGCTTCCCCTTCCTGGCATCTTTCTTAAACTTCAAATCATACTGATGAAACTTAGAAATGTACTTCAGTTTCCTCATATTTCTATAGAACATAGTGGTGGGTATGTTTTGAAAGTAAACACCAAAGTTCATGTCATTCTCGTGAACCGAATCAAATATGGTTTTTTGTGGATACCCTGAAGCCAATTGCTTCTTAACATGGCTTGTTGAGCCATGAGAAGTTGCAGAATACACAAAAAGCCTATTGGGTTGTGTTGGGCCAGGAATTGAAGAAAACCACCTATCAAATACAGCAAATTCACGCACTAAAGCCGCATAAACAGGCACAGATTCAGGCCTAAAGCCTTTCATGACTGTCTCAGAGAGATTTGGGGACATTGATAATGCTTGCTCTACAAAACCAGTCATTGAAGGAAGGGAACTAGACCCAAATACCTGTTGCTCCACTGCTTCAAATGAGTGACCCGGATCCGGATCCACAAACTCAGCATCGTCTGAGAAGCAAATGGATTTTGGGTCTGCATTTTTGGTTGAAACAGGGTTGCATTCCTTGCCTGTGACACCATTGATTGCTGGATTAATGGCTTTCTTCATCCACCCAAGCATATGATCAAAGGACCTGTTTTCCATGACCAAAACCACAATGGTTTTGATGGGTTGCTGCTGCTGCTGGGCTAAACACAAATGGGTTGGTTGGGAAGTCCATGACAGAGTGAGAAACAGCAAGAAAACGGAGGAAAATGAAGGTGGCCATAGTAAAGGTCTGGTCTTTGAACCTCCCATGTCTTTGTTTGCTAACAGAGAGAGAGAGAGAGAGAGAGAGAGAGAGAGAGAGGTTCCTTAGCTAAATGGGTCTGTCTGGCTAATGAAGGAAACAATGAGTATGTGGAAGAGAATCTGAATAAATAATTACTGCATCTCTGCTAGATATTTTTATTTAAAGAGAGAGTGAGATAGAGATACAAGGGCAATGGATTTTTGGGTACAGAGTACAAGAGCAAGAACAGATGAGAAGAAGCTTCTGGTTTTGTACTGGTGCAATAGGCCCTGGGTGATGCTTTGTTTCTTTTGGAAAGAAAAGAAAAAAGCAAAAGGCAACAAAAGGAAAGGTGGATGTGATAATTACTCTCTGTTTATATAGAATTTGTGTTAAACATGGAAAGATGGTTTTCTAAAATCCATCTCTTTCGCAAATTCTGTTAAACCTTGCAGAAGTGATTGCATGATGGCAAGGAACCACCCACTCATTGTATGTATAACAGCTAGTATGAATAGCAGAATAAGAAGCAAGGAATGTCAAAGGGTTTGACTGAAATAGTTGAGAACATCCTGTGGCCTTTCTTCTTCTTCTGGTTTTTCATTGGGGGTTTCTTAATTTGATCATTTTTTGCTATCAATTATTTTGATATAACTTTAACTGTCAACAGCAAGCAAATTAAATTACGTCACTAAATATCAAAATCAACGTAAGTTACAAAATTTCATATTCCGATCCGATCCGTCCGAAAATTAAATTTACAAATGCCACTGAAAAATAGCAGTTTTGAAGAATTTGGGGGAACAGTCCGTGGGCGAGGGAGATATGCCAATTCCACTATACAAAAGTTGGTGATGCCAATGCCAAAAATAGGCTAAATTATTCTGATAATGCTATGCATGCGAATCATGCCACATATCTTGCAATATAAAGATGATGTGAGATTTGATGTCAAATACTATAGGGCTCTTTTTATTCTCTTTCTCTTTTCTCACTTTGGAGAGTGCAGGCAATATCATATAATATGTACATTGCCATGTGAATGTGTGACTTCAAGCTATCCTTTTAAAAATTTGCCAAATTCATGGGGATCGATCGTTAGAACGATGGCCATGTTTTAAGGGGGTCCACAAAAAGAGAAATAACCAAACAAAAAGGAGCATATATAAAGTCAAAATTTTCCACCATTAAAAACCCAAAAAAGTAACAAAAATTAGAGGATTTTGGGCCAGGTGGGCCCAAGAGCCGACCAAGAAAATAAAGAATGCAAGCTCCAAGACGGACGCCCCAGATTGACACCATGTGTCTGGTATTTGTGGACCTTTTGTGGTTATCATCCACTAAGCCACTTTTGCTTCTCTCACAGTCCCACTGCTTTTTTTTCGATTCTCTCAGAGTCCCGCTACTGTGATGGAAGATAAGACATAAAAAAAGAAGAATGGCATTGGCTGTGTAACTTATTTTCAGTTCATGTCCCGCTTTGAAATACAAAATTTACGTAGAACAAGTTGAGTTTTCAATTTTGTGTTGAAAAACATTCAAAACTTAAAAGCACTATGAAATATTATGTTATCACAATGTCAATCACGATTATAGATCAAATGGGATCTGTATGAACACACTGTCAATGTTTTGACACTCTAACAACATAACAAACCACTTGTTCGATATGACAAAATCAATCCAAATCCTCCGAATTCAAGAACTTGTACATTTCAGGTGGCAGCGTTTAATTTTTACACAAGTTCATGAAGTTGCGTGAGTACGCATCAGAGACAATCAAGCATGTAATTCAGCAATAATTAGAAAACGAAGAATTGAATTTCACTTGTGTATGTGGTATAGTTTCTATAAAAGGACGTATGAAGCACAAGTTATGCCCTCCCAGCCAATTCCATTGAGCTCTTGGAAAATCGCTCTAGGCTTCTTCAAACAGAAATAGTATCAGTTGCCAGATCTCTTCAAGTACGCTAAAACGCCTAATCCGGCAACAAGAGCAGCCCCAGCTGCAACGGTACTGTATGCTGATGACCATGCAGAATCTGCATAAGCATAATCCATACTTCCTCCAGCTGAACCCCTTCGGCGACCGCGTGTTCCTGAATAATCCAAATGCAGTCTCAAACCCTGCAGAGTTGATCACTTCTACGTCAGACTTCAGAGGAAAATCGATAACAGAAACTAAGACCTAATTCAGTTGCATACTTCACTATATTTTCTCTTCTCTAAGCACCAAGCAACACCAGACAGATAATCATACCTTCCAACCAACTTGCTTTGCATGTTCCACAGCCGCTACAAGATCATTATCTGATGCCAATATAACTTTATCACGGTCTTCGTCTTCATACTACACAATTTTCCACCAATTAAAAGAAGATTAGGAAGATAGAACTCTAGAGTCAGACTCAAAAAACATGTAAATTGCTATCTTAGAAATACCAAAATTTGAGGAAGGTTGTTGCGGTCAATGTCATCTCCCATTCTCTGAACAATGGAGGTTATAAGTTCTGTCAAACTCTGAATATCTGAAGAGAAAGCCATAACAGAGAAACCCCAGTCAAGAGCTAATGTTAGGCCAAATTGTTCTTGTTGAATGTGAAATATATCCTAGATTAGGTGGCTCAACCAGGAAATCTGAATTAAAAGCCTAAAAAACGTTGTTTGTTTCAATACACACACAGTAATTTGATAGGTTACTGGAACAAGGAGCATACTGCAAGTAAATCTATGCATTCGACCCCTCTTATCTTGAAGTTTGAAAGCAAATGTATTAGGAAAATTTGCCGATGGAAAGGGAAGCGATCTCCCTGTCTCTGCTCCGTCAGAAGCCAACTTCAATGACCCTTCACTGAGATGACAATAAAGATGCATAAATACATATAAGCATAAGTAAAATAAAATAAATTGAACCTTCATGCTAATTTCAATAACATATGAATATAAACAGATAAATATATAACCTTCGAGAATCCTCATCTTCCTCATGTGGACCCAAGGCCATGGCAGAATCCCAAAACTTTTGCATCAAAGAGCTTGCGGCCTCATTGCTGACTCCAGCAGTATTTCCGACCTGGTTAGCAAAGAAAATTATGTTTACAATTTCTTCTTTGCCCCAGGGGGGGGAAAAAGTATTAAACAGCCAAAGAAAAGAGAACTGCAGAGATGATATGTTTGTTCTAGATGCCAAGGATCTAAAACAGCCAAAGAAAGTGAAGCCTAAGTTTTCCCCACTAGGATAGTTCAGAATTGTGAAAATCAAGTCATTAGTAAACAAGTCAAGCAAGGACAGCAAAATGAGAATGATGTTTCGTGACACATAAATAATTTTAAACCATTATTCCATGCATATATGTAAGAACTACAGATTGGTTCATCAAGTAATGCTGAAAGCATGAAAAAGTGGATATATTCCTCTTATCCTAGAAAGATTAATGCAAGATTGACGTAAATCACAATAATTAACAGTAGGTAAAGACATGACTTACAGTAGCTACAGCAGCATGAGTGATATGAATTACATCAACAACAGCAACCACAGTTCCATCTGTATATGGTCATCCATAATCATCAGAAACTAAAAATCTTCTGTTACTTAAAAAAACAAAAAAACTTATACTATATCATAATTTTACCTCTGTCTACTACGGGAAGGTGCAAAAATTTTCCGTCATGCATTGTATGCAGCGCATCAACAATTGGTGTATCAACTGTGGCACATTCTGGATTTTGAGTCATGACCTATTAATCAATTCAAAAGAAAGCTGAGATATGTGAATAATTTATATTCCTTCACTTACATAAGCATAAAATGAAGTGTTCCTTGGAATCAGCAGATATTACAACTTCTGGCCAGATAAGACAAGGACAGAGGGATTGATTTACAGTTTTCCTCAGGATGGTCCAAAGACCAAAATTTCCAAACGGATAGAGACATGTACCTTCTCTACAAGAGTGGCCTTCGGAGAAAGATTTTGTGCTATTACCCGCATCAAGATATCTTTTGAACTGACAAGAATCAAAAGCACAAATCACAATTCATTTTATCTATAAAACGATACAGTGATAATAGTGACAAGAAAGGATAACATTATTGAGAAAAAAGGTAAACTGTAATTTTTTTTAATTAAAGAAACAGAACACAAGAAACTCACGTAAGAATTCCTCGTGGCTTGTTATCAACTGTCACAACAGCAGAGCTTACTCGCATCTCCTGCATCTTCTTTGTTGTCATCAAAACAGTATCTGTTGGCGAAACTGTTAAAACCCTGAAAGACATATCCATCTGTTAAATGAAAACTTGTAATATCTTCAACATCTGGCCACATAAAATAACAGACCTAAAAATATTACCTACTTTGAACTTTCCGGAATAATTGTGGACAAGGATGGCCTAAACAACTGCTCCCGAAGTGTCTCAACGAATGTATTGGAACCTGAATCTCAAATAAAAAACATAAAGTTAATCTTTGGTTTATGAGGAAACTGACTACTCTCCATTACATAAATCTACAGAAGGAAGTTATTCCTAAAAGCTGCAAAAATATTAAAGAATGTGATAAAATAAAAAATAGAAAAGAAAAGAATAAATGTCTACTAACCAGAAGTAGATGTGCCCCAATGTTTTTCAACACCTTCCACAGCAGCAGCAATAGCCTTTCCCTTTTCAGCTGCCCTTTCCATTCGAGCAATAGCATCATATAAGCACTTTGCTATATCAAGTAAAGCAATGACCTCTCCATTCTCAACAACAGGCAAATGTCTGAATTTTCCTGTAAATGCAGAAATCAGCAACATATAGCAAGAGCAAGCCACTAACAGAGAGTATGTCAAGAAGCAAATTTGCCTCTAATTTATTACTAACCTTGCACCATTTTTTGAAGGGCTTCAACAGCGAGAGTGTCAGAAAGAACAAATATCGGGTTCCTTGTCATAACTTTAGAAACAAGCGTATCCTCAAGATTAAGCTCACGAGAAATTACTCTTGTTGCTATATCCTGCAACCACAGAAACAAATAGATACATCAGAAAACAGTACGCCAACAAAATCCATCAAAACATACCAAACAAGTGCTTTTTGAAGTTTTTCTGTGAACGGCATTTTCTTGGCAAATGTCACACTGAATTCAAAGTCATACCTTGTCCGTAAGTATTCCACAGAGCAATGCATTAGAGTCAGTTAACAACAAAGCATCAACTCTACGAGCAGCCATTCGACGACACGCTTCTTGAATACTGGTATTTTCAGGTACTGTCAGAGCCTTTGATAGCCTCAGGCGTTTTACCGTACGCTCTCCAGTTAGCCCCCTGCCCCAATGCAAGCAGAGAAGAGATTTTTGTTACTAAGATTCCAATGCACAAACTTTAAATTGAGCAAGCCTATTTCCAACAAAGCACCTTTTCCAACAAAAACTGATTCATTCTCAATACCCAACTTCTATGTCCTACAACCACTACATATTTTACTGTTTCACTGCTTTACAATAACACAAACGCAGTCATAACACAACGAAAATGAAAATTATCACAAAATCAGTCAAAAACACAATCATGGGTGGGTTTCTTCTTCACGCAATTCAATTCAACAAAAGCTCAATTATTTACAGAAAACATTCATTTCAATGAAAAATTTATCTGAAAAAATTTGAATACGCACACGGAACGAGAAGCCGAAAAAGATTTACGGGCTGATTCAGGGCCTCCGTTAATACCGTCAGAGGATTTCTTCTTATCCTGCAACGATGTGTTCGTCAATGACAGACTTCTTCTAGAAGAACCGCCCTGACTAGCCATCGTCGCCTTTAATCAAACACCAATTTATTATCCTGCAGCAAAAAATCACTATCGCATTATAAAATCTAAATAATTATTGTTCAAAATATGAAATATTTGACGAATTTCATTTCCAAATTGAAGGCCTGCCCAAAATAGAAGTTCCTGCACAATTGATTCTGAGGCTCATCGTTTACGAGCTTTCGAAATAAAGAAATAAGGAAAATATCGCATTCAACGTATTATTTTTCTCGGAAACCAAACGGAGACAGAAACTCACCGGACTTCTTATGCAGCCCTTATTTTTCTCCTCAATAAACAGAAAAGAAAGACGCCTTCAGAATCGGAAATCAGAAAACCTCGACAAGAAATCACAGCTTAGCCATTGGCCATGGCCCGGGAAATGGAGCTACAAGAAATTGGATTGGATTGGATTGGATTGGAGGCGGTCAAGATTGAAGGGTTTGAAAAATCTCTGGCAAAATGAAACACTCGCGGTCGGGAATCTGATCAGAAAATCGGAATTTTCCGGGAAAATACACCGACCGGCGAGAGTGAATGAGACTCAGAGAGAGAAATACCCTAAAAAATGGGACAATGAGATAGTGGGCCAATCAAAACCGTGCACGTCAACGTTTTTCTAACAGAAGTTTTCAAATTACCTCCAAATTTACTGGCGCTTTTTTGAGGCCTCCCAAATATTTTATGCTGTAAGATTCTAATTAAGGTCAGAAATAAATTGTAAACTTACGGTTTTGGCCTTATCTTATCTCTCTGGCATCTCTAGTATGGGTGCAGTCTGGTCATTTCATATGAAATTAGGAGAGATGGAAAATGCCAATATATATATCTATGTTTGGCTTACAATGTTGTCACGCTTCAAAGTTCAAATCATATACTAACATAGTCAACTCCCGAATGGTCATAATGCAACTATTTATCTTAATCTAATCACATAAATTCCAGATTTTAGTAACTAGCTTACTTAATTTGTAGTGTAAATTTTATTTATGTTTTAAAAATAATAATTTTTATTATGTTATCTGTCATATTCCTTACAATACAAAAATATATATTTTTCTATTTTAGAACAGTTGGATTCCTCTTATAAGACAACTCATTGTAGCAAATAACTCTAACATTAATATGACGTTTTTACTAATTTTTTAATAGAATGTCTCAAATAGTGTAAGGTTTTTTTTAGCACAAGCGATTGGGTGACGGGGATTTACACATAAATATTCATTGGGTGAGTTGGGGTTTCGAACTCTACCCACATGGGTGGAGGTGAAATACCTCAACTAACTGAGCCATAGTGTAACTTTTTATATCGTTTATAGCTTTTAGTTCATACTTCTCAAATTTTCAAGTTCGAATCCCTTCATTTCCATTAATTTAAAAAGGACTTTTCAAGGTATAGAAAAGGTAAACTTTGCGCTTAAATACTTCGGATTTCCCAGCATAATATGATATGATGATCAAGATGCTAAATTCTAGTAGTAAGGTTTATGTAAGGCATCAATGGATGCTTTTCTTTAGATAAAAGAAAAATAGGCATATCGCGTGAGAATTTTGCCCTAGTGTGCTTTAGAATCTACAAGTTCCCCTCCAGAAGTAGCAGTATTGAATTTGTTATGCAACACTGAAATATATAAAGGAAACAGCAGATGCGCAGTTACCTTGGAGGCTTTGGAGTTTGGATGCTACACTATATGATGCAACCTTTCGTGTTGGACCTGAAATCAAATCACACCATGAAAAAAAAAAAATTAATAAAAAATATTGGGGCCAGAAGAAAAGAGAGTTAAAGGCTTACACAACACTTTAAAGCAAGCATTCTTTGAGCTAAAATAGTTCCTAAGAATCCACTTTTTTCTTTCAAATGTGTTGTATAAAACTGTTTTGCGCCTTGTGGGTTGGATTGTTCATTGATGAATTACAAAAATATATCAATTATAGAAAGAAAGCAGAGAAGAAAATGGTGGACTGGGCACCTGTTCTACTTGGGTTGATGTTGTTCATACTGCTGTCTCCTGGTCTTCTGTTTCAAATACCAGGAAACACCCGCCATGTTGAGTTTGGGAGCTTCACCACAAATGGCAAGGCCATTCTTGTCCACACACTCATTTTCTTTGGCATTTTCACCATCCTCATATTGGCTTTTGGCATCCACATCCACACTGGCTGATCAAACTTAGCACCTTGCAGTTTGGATAAGATTTTTGTAATTTTCTGTGTATTTTTCTTCTTCAATTGTTTTCTTGTCATATATTTATTGGGTTTTTTTTTTTCTTTTTCGTATTGGTCCCTCTACCATACCACATGAAATGGGTTTTGTTTTTGTTTTTGTTTTTTTTTTTTTTTTTTTTGAGTGACCCCATGAAGTGGGTTCTAATTGTTCTTGTATTAATTAACATCATATGATTACTGAAAAATTATTTTACATTTTTCTTATTGTATTTTTGTTGATAAATTTCTGACTAGATTGGTACTTTTTATGAATAAATATAACAAATTAATAAGTACAAATTTTAAAAAAAATTAAAAATACCTCTCTATTGGAACTAGCTAGAGTACTTGACAGAGATTCAGAGGATTAAAAGCAGAAAATGAGAGAGGAGCTATTGGAACTAGTATAGCCATATGGCTTTACACTTTTGACACGTGGCACCGAGGCATAGGCGGGTCCTTTTTTAATATATATAAATAGTATAGCAGCCGGTTATACGAGGTTTTTTAATTTTTTTATAAAAAATAGTATAGCAGGCTGGCTATATTTATTTTGACACATGGGCGCCTAATCATTGAGAGGTCCTCCTTTGTTTTTTATAGTATCGCCGCGTGGCTATACTCGGTTTTTTCCTAATTTGTTTTAATTTTTAAATAGTATAGCCGCCCAGCGTTATCTTTTTACATTTGGCGCCTAGGGCCTAGGAGGAGGTCCTTTTTTAATATATATATATATATAAATAGTACTGCCGTGCCGCTATACCGGTTTACATATTTTTATCAGAAATAGTATCGCCGTGCGGCTATACCCGGTTTTAGTAATGTTTCAAAAAAAAAATAGCCGACCGGCTATATTCGATTTTATTATTTTTTTTTTGGGCCTATGTTGTAATCCTAACCGTCATGGCATATGCTTGGGCCTGAATACCCAATTCGAAACAAACCCAAAACCCGAAAAACAAAGAAGATCACAGCCATGGAAACCAAATAAACAAGATCGTGACACGTATTAGCCTCAGCACAGTTGCGCTCGCCCTCGTCACGAGAAAAACACATGATATCCCAACCTCAGATTTCTTCAAATTTCCAAAACCCTCTTGCCTTTCTCAGATCTTCTTCTTCATTTTCTTCTAGTTTAGGTTTTGCAGACAAAAATGGCAGATTGAGGTCCTATTGTGCTATTTGTGGTATTGACACCGGGGCTTTTGTTTCAGATACCGGGAAAGGGGAGGGTGGTGGAGTTTGGGAACATGCAGACCAGTGGCGCTTCTATTGTGGTTCATGCCACAATCTTCCTCATTGCCATCAGTCTTTTCCTAATTTGTTTTAAAATAGTATAGCCGCGCGGCTATACACGTTTTCCCCAATTTTTTAAAAAATAGTATAGCCGGGCGGCGTTATTGTTTTTGACATGTGGCGCCTATGCGATAGGTGGGTCCTTTTTTTAATATATATAAATAGTATAGCCGAACGGCGATACCTGATTTTTTAATAAAAAATAGTATAGCCGCACGGCGATACGTATTTTGACACGTAGGCTACTAATCACTGGGCGGGTACTCTTTTTTTTTTCATAAATAGTATAGCCGAACGGCTATACTGGTTTTTTTTTTTTAAACTTACCTCCGACCGGCTATACTTGGTTTTTAATTATAGTATAGCCGCACGGCCATACACTGGTGTGTCCTAATTGTTTTAAAATCGTATAGCCGCACGGATGTACTCGGTTTTATCTAAAAAATAGCATCGCTGGTCCTCTTTTGTTTGTTTATAAATAATATAGCCGAGCGGCTGTACCGGATTTTTAAATTATTTTTGGGCCTATCTTGTGACATTCCGACACGGCTTATGCTTGGGCCTGAAGACCCAATTCGAAACAAACCCAAAAGCCGAAAAACTGACAAGCAAATATGAAATTTCCATCCTCATCATCCTATCGAAGAAGATCACACCCGTTGAAACCAAATAAACAAGATCCTGACACGTATTAGCCTCAGCCCGGTCGCGCTCGCCCTCTTGTCACGAGAGAAACACACGATACCGAGGCACCTGTCCATTCATTTATGCTCCCAACCTCAAATCTCTTCAAACTTCCAAAACCCCACTTGCCCTGCTCAGATCTTCTTCTTCTTCGAAACCCATCTAGTATTTTCTTCTTCTTGGTTTTCATCTAGTTTAGGTTTGGCAGAGAAAAATGGCAGATTGGGGTCCTGTGGTGATAGCAGTGGTGCTGTTTGTGGTATTGACACCGGGGCTTTTGTTTCAGATACCGGGAAAGGGAAGAGTGGTGGAGTTTGGGAACATGCAGACCAGTGGCGCTTCTATTATGGTTCATGCCATCATCTACTTTGGCCTCATCACCATCTTCCTCATTGCTATTGGTGTTCACATCTATGCTGGCTGATTTTGTATTTTGTATTTCAGTTGAGTTTAGAGTTTGCTTTCATCTGACATTTAATTTCTTATCATGTTTAATTACCTTGTGTATTGCAAAATTTGGTATTGCTTTTACTTTAAATCATGAAGCTTTGTTTGGTAGTGGAATTTCCTTTGGTTTAAACGTAGCAGGAGCAGCAGTATTGGGATTTTGATGCAAGTTTTAATGGTTTAGCGGCTCCTGAATTTTAATGGATTCCTAATTAGTATTTACTAAGGGGGATTACCCACATCTAATTGAATGGATGCCTCAATCAATTCAATGAGATGGATGGCTATGAAGTTCACCCATCGTCATAGTTTGGCATAATTCCCTCTTTGATGTGGAAATTATTGCCTACATGCTATGAATTTAGGTCATGCGTTTGGGCTTTTTTGTGGGCTGGAAATTATTGGTGTTTGCCAGAAAGGCCATGTAGCTCAAGCCCAATTGGTTAAGAGACTTGAGGTTAGGTTTGATTTCCTCTTTCTCAATACCATTTGCATAAAAATAAATAATATAAGTAAATGCAACCCTTAAGTTTTATTAAAACAAGCGATAGTTTGAACAGGAAAATCAAATTTGAGTAAAGAGGCGAGTACATTATCTTGTCCAACATCAAATTTGAGTAAAGTCCAACTGAACTAACTATTTGAGTAAAAAGGCGAGTACACAGTCTTGTCCAACTGAGTAAATAGGTGAGTAAAGCGCGAGTACACTGTCTTGTTCAACTGGACTAACTATTTGAGTAAAAAAGCGAGTACACAGTCTTGTCCAACTGAGTAAAGAAGCGAGTAAAGCGTGAGTACACTGTCTTGTTCAACTGGACTAACTATTTGAGTAAAAAGCGAGTACACAGTCTTGTCCAACTGAGTAAAGAAGCGAGTATAGAGTCTTGTCCAACTGGAGTATAGAGTCTTGTCCAACTGGACTAACTACGCCCAATTTTAAAGAAAAAGAGTTTTTAATGAACCATACAATACAAGGAAATAGAAAATGAAGAGCCTAAGAAAGTGTATCGAGAAAGAAAGTGGAGTAATTGGGTTAGGTAATGATAATCTAGACCCACACCACATGTCATTGCTCACGATATCCGACCCCCCCTCACTTAGAAGAAAGTTATCAAATCTTGACGAACGCGTGTTTCAACTTTGAGCTTAGCCCAATCAATAAAAATGCGTATACTTTTAAAGATGTAACACCATGTTCGATTTAACTATAAAGTTTTTAGATTTGATTGCTGGTTTGCTGAACAGGAGACATAGAAAGGAAAATGTGTTCCCATTTTTCTCTTAAATCGCATCATGTGTTGTAACCAATCCTAGATGAGTAATTTAAGAGAAAAGTGAATGATATTCACGAGCATTTGCAAATGTTTTCACTTTCGGTTCAAGTCTAGTTGGAGTCTAATCACATTTAGCAGCCCCTGCAACTAACTTTGAACAAGACTAGTTGGAGTCTAATCACATTTAGCAGCCCCTGCAACTAACTTTGAACAAGAATGAGTGGATACGTATCTAGAAAAACTCGTATGAACCAAGCATGATACACATAGAATCTTGCTTGTAATCTAAGTTTTCGAGTATGTGTCAAATAATTATGATTTATATGTAAAAACTCCTTGTAAGCTAACATGTAAGGAGCGGATTATTTTCCATTTAGATACAATGTGAAACTCGTATACAATAATGGACTACTATTGTGAGAGCCTATTGCATTTTCATAATCTTTTTTGCTTTTCTTTTCATTAAAGTGTGAACTCACGTACGTATGAACAAGAATGAAGTACAAGATTGTTCTAAGGGTATGCTATAATCTACTTTTTTTTATTTAAGGAGCTTCTGAAGGTGAAACGGACTAATTTTTCCTGAAATGAAAGAAGCTAATTTCTACTAAACACGATAAACGTCTTAAAATTTAAGATTAAATTGCTATTGTTTTAGAATATTTGTACTAGGCTAGAACTCACCCTAGTTTAAGTATGGCTCCGCCTTTGCGTATAAGAAAGCAAAACATTATATCTGAAAGCCATTCAAAATCCCCATTTTGTGTGTTTCAAGTGTCTCATAGAACAACGAATTTTCATAAATTTACAAGAAAAGAGAGAACTTATACAATACTTAAGCTCGAAGATTCCCACAGTGTAAGTGGTAATGTCCTAGGTTTGAATCCATCAACATCATGGTAAGGCGACCACCATCGAAGCATATAGCTCCAATCTTGACCTAACATGTCTCCATGAAACCCCTTCAAGATAAGCCATGATTTGACGCTTTGTTTGTCACTCACTACATTTTCTTGTAAGTCCCAACAAAAACTTTTTTTCTTTTGACATTTCCAACATATTTTTCTCTTTTAATTATTCCGAAAGCCATTGATGGGTTTGATTTTGCAACCCATGGACGTCCCATCCCTTCTCCTCTTTTTTGAGTTCTAAGTTTTACGTGTCAACTGCTGATTGACCTTTATCGCAACATGCAATTTATATTGGAGTATAACTGACATGGCATATATGCAAATGCATGTTTCATATTGGCTAATGAGATGGCATCTCTTGCATAAAGATATGTCACTTCTTTAGTTTGACATGATTTATACAAAAGATGTTCTATTTTAAATTATGTGAAAGGGAGTTCAAACTCGGGTACAAAATAGGGAGTATATTTGTTTTAGCCAATTAGACTAAGTTCATATCTGTTTTTTAATTAACATATTAACATGTGATAATTGATGTGTTAATTAACTATCATTATATATAATATTAAATGCACACATCACACTCAAACTCACTTGTATAGATGGGTTTCTTCATGTAGAATATTCCACCTTTGTGGGACATGGGACTCAATACCAATATTGTCAACAAATATTGGAATAATATGCTAATTCAAACAAGATAGTTTTTTAACAGCATTTCTGATAGAGATGTTAAATGCAAAATGTTAAATTTGAATTTGATAGCTTATGTGGCAATTTGAACTTCGGAAAAAATTTAACTCCACCTAAAATACCAAATATTATATTTTCAAAAGTAAATAGGGCTCACATGGTGCAGAAAATTTTAAAATAGAGCACATGATAGAGGGGTCTATGACAAAAAAAAAATACACGTACGTATGAACAAGAATGAAGTACAAGATTGTTCTAAGGGTATGCTATAATCTACTTTTTTTTATTTAAGGAGCTTCTGAAGGTGAAACGGACTAATTTTTCCTGAAATGAAAGAAGCTAATTTCTACTAAACACGATAAACGTCTTAAAATTTAAGATTAAATTGCTATTGTTTTAGAATATTTGTACTAGGCTAGAACTCACCCTAGTTTAAGTATGGCTCCGCCTTTGCGTATAAGAAAGCAAAACATTATATCTGAAAGCCATTCAAAATCCCCATTTTGTGTGTTTCAAGTGTCTCATAGAACAACGAATTTTCATAAATTTACAAGAAAAGAGAGAACTTATACAATACTTAAGCTCGAAGATTCCCACAGTGTAAGTGGTAATGTCCTAGGTTTGAATCCATCAACATCATGGTAAGGCGACCACCATCGAAGCATATAGCTCCAATCTTGACCTAACATGTCTCCATGAAACCCCTTCAAGATAAGCCATGATTTGACGCTTTGTTTGTCACTCACTACATTTTCTTGTAAGTCCCAACAAAAACTTTTTTTCTTTTGACATTTCCAACATATTTTTCTCTTTTAATTATTCCGAAAGCCATTGATGGGTTTGATTTTGCAACCCATGGACGTCCCATCCCTTCTCCTCTTTTTTGAGTTCTAAGTTTTACGTGTCAACTGCTGATTGACCTTTATCGCAACATGCAATTTATATTGGAGTATAACTGACATGGCATATATGCAAATGCATGTTTCATATTGGCTAATGAGATGGCATCTCTTGCATAAAGATATGTCACTTCTTTAGTTTGACATGATTTATACAAAAGATGTTCTATTTTAAATTATGTGAAAGGGAGTTCAAACTCGGGTACAAAATAGGGAGTATATTTGTTTTAGCCAATTAGACTAAGTTCATATCTGTTTTTTAATTAACATATTAACATGTGATAATTGATGTGTTAATTAACTATCATTATATATAATATTAAATGCACACATCACACTCAAACTCACTTGTATAGATGGGTTTCTTCATGTAGAATATTCCACCTTTGTGGGACATGGGACTCAATACCAATATTGTCAACAAATATTGGAATAATATGCTAATTCAAACAAGATAGTTTTTTAACAGCATTTCTGATAGAGATGTTAAATGCAAAATGTTAAATTTGAATTTGATAGCTTATGTGGCAATTTGAACTTCGGAAAAAATTTAACTCCACCTAAAATACCAAATATTATATTTTCAAAAGTAAATAGGGCTCACATGGTGCAGAAAATTTTAAAATAGAGCACATGATAGAGGGGTCTATGACAAAAAAAAAATATTAAAATAATATTTGACATCAAACTTTTTGATATGTTATTTTTGACATATCTCTTTCAGTCTTAAAATCTACGTAGGATTTGACTATTCGGTTGGAACAACTTTAAACTTTAATTTTTGACATTTCATGTCCATGTAGCAATTTGAGATATCGGTTGAAGATGCTCTAAGTACTCAACTTGCGTGAACGTTTAGGATACATGAGTGTACGTGATTAATAATATCGTAACTCAAGGATCCGAAGTTTGTGTCAATTATCATTTAGTCTAGTGTCATTCAGTCTTCACTTTGTTAGAGATTTAGAGTTGGAATCTTTGCACCTAGGTTTTAAACCCCACAAACTACTAGCTAGCTAGGTTAGGTTTAATCAGAAACATGCTGAAAATTCACGTAACTAAAAGTGAATGCATAGGGTAGGGGGTCATAGTAAAAAACAAATAATAATGAAAGAGGAGGGATGATTGCAAAAGGGGAATTTGAGTAGTGGCGTCGTGTCAAAGCAAATTAAACTAACCAACCTTTTAAGTAGAATCATCTATGGCTTATTCTTCTACTTAAACATATGTCTCTATATATATACATTGATATAGTATGAAAGAAAGTGTGATATAGTAAAATGGGGAGGGGGAAAGTGGAGCTGAAGAGAATAGAAAACCCAACAAGCAGGCAGGTGACCTTCTCGAAACGACGAAATGGGCTTCTGAAGAAGGCTTTTGAGCTCTCCGTCC